CTCTGGACCTCTGGAAATAATTTCTAATGCAGATTTTGCACATTTGTTGAGTGAATTTGTGTTTGAAAAGTGAATTTGCATAATGATCAGCGTTTTACAGGTATGCTTTTGTGCCAAGGTAATTGCCAAAAGGTGCACTTGAATTTTAAATGCTGTGAAATCTCTTTATTTTTGCTTTTTATGGTTTTTAAAAATGATTTGAAAGACCTTGCGCGTTTCTGGAAGCGTGTCTCTTTGTGCGTTCAAAAAAATACCACCCTGTTTGTGTCACGACAGACTAATGTCCCAAGGGCACAACATTCCCTTGATTGAATCATACATTTTGATTCTAAAATGTTGATTTTCAATGCATCCCGGTTAAACAAATTAATCAGTGCAGAATTATTACAATCTTCAAATGTCACCGTCAACATCAGAGCTTTAATCAATTGTATAACTAAAGGTCACAGATGTAGCGAAAGCATGGGTTGTTGACTTATACCATTTGTTATTTTCCCTGCCCTTAATCAATTGGGACCTTTCATGTTCTTTCTGCATTATTGCTAAGGTGACCTGCAGAAAATCTCTTCTTTGTAAATCACTCGCTGAGTTGCTTGGTGTTGAGTGTAACTTGTAAAAGCATAGACTGTGAAGGTTTGGAGGTAGTATCAGTTACATCACCCATAGGTTTCTGAAGAATGCAATAGAAGCTATAAGTAGGTGTGGCCAACCATTGCCTTTTTGTTCGCGTGACATTGCAGACTGGGCAATACCAAACAAGGGCAAAGAGGTGGAGCGTGAGCTGAGCTACAGATGCCTGCTAGCATTTTGCTCAGATGGTCTTTTCTTTTTGAGAAACTCTTTACATTTCATTACCTGCGACTCGTTTGTGTATTCTGACCACTTGTGTTTGGTTGTGTACTATATCAATTGAGTGTTTTGTTTTTTAAAAACACTGCTGTAATACATTGAGCCACTAAGCACTGTTCTTATGACATTTTTCTACAGGAGGAAAACGCAAATTACTTCCAAACACTTAAAATGTAGTCCGTGTAAGTAAATACAAGGTTGTTTATGAAATCCTATAGCCTTCAGCTAATTAATATTTCAGATTCTGGAGTATTTTACAGTTCTAAAGAAAATTATAAATAATAAATGATCTTAAATAAGCCAAATACATTTATAGATTTGATATATAAGTATATAATTTCACTCACCTGGGAAATGGAGGCCACTTGAAAGGTTTGTTAGCTCAGTGCACATGCCATTTTATCTAAACGTAAGAAACAATTCTAAAAAGCAGCTGACATGTGTAAAGCCACATAAAACAAAACAAAAATATGATGAATATGCCGAGTTCACTGGCTAATCAGCCGGTATCAGCTATGACAGCGACCATCTGTCATTCAAGTGGCCACACCCTTAATTATGCAGACTTAATATAACTTATAAAGGAAACGGATGAGTTATTAAAAATTCACCCGCTGACAGTTGTCATGAAGGGTAATATTAGCTATATGCACCAAAATCTTTTCTTTTTTTTTTTTGTGCCAGGCTGTAAACACCTTTTTTTCTGCTGTAAAGTTGGCCATTTTAATAGTGGGGAAGCACAGATTTTACAGATTTTTTGAAAATTAAAAAATATAGACTATAATAATAAATAAATAAAAAACTTTTATGCTGCAAAAAATGGTTTCTCCTGTGTTTCTCATCCAAATTTTGCCAAACTTTTTCAATAATTGGCAGAATTTTTAATTTTCAAAGTTTTATTTTGATTTAGGGATGTTTTTTATCGCCTTACTGTTCATTTTGTTATTAACATTTTAAAGGTTTAAAATCTGTTTTTGCCTTAATAAATTACATCCTTGTTAGTACTCTTAGGCTTTATTGCAATCTTTATCTCAATGGACAGTGAATTAATAGCACAAAACATGCAAAAGTAGCAAACACATTACTTTACATGCTGTCATTAATCTATATATACAGCATGTATAGCTCTGGGCTCAGAAAGTTCTCAAAATATTATTTTATCCTACATTTTTAAAGGAAAATGAAGGTGTGGGTTATATAGGTAGTTGTTAATTGCAGAGCTTCTCTATAAAAAGGTAAAAAAAAAACATCTGCAATTTCTGAAAGAGATCAAACCTCAGTCAGCTAAAGAAAAAAAAAGTAACTCAAAAGTATTACTTTCCATGAAAATTAACTAAGTAACACAATTAGTTACTTTTTTGGGGGGAGTAACTCAATATTGTAATGTACAACAGTACTTTCAAAAGTCACTTTCCCCAACACTGCAGTCACTGAGAGAAAGGAATATGACGTGCAAGGCACAAACCGTGTCTTGACTAATCTAGTAATAAACGTGTCAATGATCTCGTTCACCCATATCATTGTGTTTTTTGGTTGCGCTGAATATAGCTTTTAGTTTCACCTAATGTAAAACAGAGTGTTTACAGCAGCTACCAACTGGTAATGAGGCCTATAGCATGAACTAAAGGAGGTATTATTGTCTGTTTGAAGGTGTAGATTTAAATCAAGACTTTGGAAATGAAACGTCTGTGCAGCACATTAGGATGAGATTTGCCGCAACTGTAGTCATGCATTCCGGTTTATGTCCTGATCTTACGGAGTTTGAGCGGTGACATTGCCAATCACCGCGTTTTAGCGCAGATGTGCAGATGGTTCCCTCCCTCAGGTCCCGCCACATGCAAAACTGCTGATTTAAGAGGAATGTCATGGTTAATTAGTACATTAGTAAAGTGAAGCGTCGCCTCACTCTCAACTATATGGCACCATGTGATTTTCCTGTACAGGCTGGTTTGTACCGTATTATGTATTTGTCCTTTTATTACACTTACACAGATATTACTCAAGTGATGTTGTTTATATACTGCTTAACTTCAGTTAATACTTTAGTGACACCATGGAATAACCGCAATTCTATAAATACTAGAATGGCCATAGTTATTCTGAAAGGAAGTGTTCGGTCACACTCTTTACATTGGATAAATAAAATCTAGCTCAGGACGTCAGATCCTGTCAGATATTATCTGTTTTTCTGGGTATTCAGACAACAAGCCAGCAGAGCCGCCCAATAGCCAAACCTGTTAACCAGTATCTAACCGAATTAACAGTCTCCTATCAATATGGGAGTTGACTGAGGAAGCCAGAGAGGAGCAGAAGCAGAAGACAAAGCAACGTTGATAAAGAAAGAGGAGGGTTTGATTAATCTTAGTTGCGTATGATTTAATGGCTAGACTTCGCCTGACCACAATAAATCCAACAAGTGATATTATACCATAAGCAACAGTAATTTGCTTCACAACATTGTCCAATGACAATACAGACCTAAAGTGGAGACTTTCTTTATCTCTTACTCTTGAAAACAAGTGTTGCTTGAATCCACACAGTCATTAGTTTATGATAATATAGCACAATTGTATAACAATAAAGCAATAATTATAAGAAAAATAGTAATAATAAAATATAAAAACATAATAAAATGACAAATAAAAATCAATATTATAATCAATGAAATGGTATAATGATAATTATATAAATGACTAGTGATCATATGGTTAAATAAAATAATTTAAATGAAAACAAATAAATATAAAGAAATAAAAATAATACACAACAGAAATGAATGGTTGCTTTCTTGAAGGCATAGGTTTGCTACAAGGATTCTCTGATCCTTAGATTCTTCATTAGGAGAGAAGTATGTAAAATTTAGCTTTTTAAATGTTTTTTACTATTATTAATACATATATATTTGTTTATTAAAGTGTCAGAAACAATGCATTTAGCTTTCAAAGCTGTTACCTTGTTTGTGTTTCAAAATATCATTCTTTTTTAAATGTCCACTATAGTCTTAATGTCTTAAGACCATCTTAATGTATTTAAGAAGCAGAGAGGATTTTTTATAAAATAGCTGAGGTAGACTTTGATTTAGAGTCTGACAATCAGACAATTAAGAGAATTAGAGACAATTAGAGAAGTTTTAGATCACTTTTATGTTAAATTTGTTTTGGATTAACATCAATTATTATTATTTTTTTTTGTTCGGCTCTATTTATTTTTTATTCCATTTATTTATTTTATTTATCCTTTTATTTATTTATTTTTTATTTTATTTTATTTTACTTATTTTATTTTTATTTTTATTTAATTTTTTTAATTTTATTTTTTTATTATTTTTTTATTTTATTTTTATTTTATTTTATTTTATTTTATTTTATTTTATTTTATTTTATTTTATTTTATTTTATTTTATTTTATTTTATTTTATTTTATTTTGAGTTAACTGTTTCTCATATAGTGAGTAAAGGTATAGACCAAAATGTGAAAAATGAAAGGACAGAAGACATTATAAAGCCCAGCAGACAGCGTTCTGCCTCTTTTCATGGCAATTTTTAATACGAACCATGTCTTTTTATGAGCCTTTAAAATGTTTTTTATGCCTGTTGGAAGGAAACATGAGGTGAAAACTAAATTCTCTCCAAGGTGACTTAATCGGTGTAAGTGTATATACCTTTGTCTTGCAGTGTCCTTGTGTTTTAGATGTCTTTCGAAACTGATTTACCCATTTAATGTTGTTCTTAATACACTATATTCCTCAAACAAGTTTATTTAACATCAGAAGACATGCAAACTACATTCCATCTCGTAGCAGAAACGGTATAAACCTGTCAGCTTTAAAATATTATCCCTGCTTGTTTATAATGGCAAACATCATACAGCCTCCCAGCGGCTTGTCCACAGAATACAGAGGCTCCAGCTCTGGTTAAGAAGTAAACAAGTCGAGGCTTTATTTCCATCTCATAAACATATAGATTTATTACCATCGTTTTTGAGCAGCCTCCCTACGCAGTGTCTCCCATTAGTAATGAACACTCCGATTTATGACCGTTTCCATCAACCTCCAGACATAATTTACCTTCCCAGACACGTTGTGCTTTTATGCAGATTAGCAATCTCAGTAAAAGACTCTTAACGGAGATATCCTGTTTTTTTCCCTACAGGAGAGGGTGCAGGTCATTAATGGCGCCCTGTCCATCACTCACCTGGCACTCTCTGATATTGGGATGTACCAGTGTGTGGCTGGAAACAAGTATGGAGAAGTCTATTCCAATGCTGAACTCAGAGTTATCGGTGAGTGAAACCTGGTTAATCGCATTTGACTTACATATTGGTGTTGCTTTATGGAATAATGTGTGCATTAATAAAGCTTATTACACGGCTGTCTGGAATACTTGATTCTGATTGGTCACACCATTCGAATGTATGGTATCCGCAGATAACAACCGCTAATACTAATAACATGAGAATAATTTTGACCATCCGTGAATTACATTCACGTCATTGTCCGTCATGATGCTGTTTTTGACTGTTTGGGGCTGAATAATATGTAAGTTAGTGTATGCTTCATTTAGCCGCTTTTGTTTCTGTTAGCTTTGCTTTGAATTAAACCTTTATTAAACTAAATAATAAAGTAATTTTTACATTTTGTGGCAGGCAGCCCTTTAAAAAATGGGACAAAGTACATCCAGACGGTTCTTTCTGCTATTTATCTATCTGCTAATAAACATGTTGAGCTTTATTCTGTGATTAAAAACCGCCCGGATGTACTTTATTCCTTACTAACACTCTTTATTTCAATTATATGTTCCTGATAAAGGCCTCTGATGTGATTCTGTCACAGTGCTGTTTTTGACTGCTTGGCGCCCTCTTGTGGCTGAATAATATGTAGGTTAGTGTATGCTCCAACCAGCCATTTTCGTTTAACATAGGTACATTACTTTTAACATCTTTTTTACTGATTCTTGAATGAATAACTCACATGAGGTATATAAATTAAAAACATACAGCTTAACCACTGTGCTGTCATTCCTAAACATATTGTTCATATGAAATTGGTCTTTTTAAGTTAATTTAAATATATAGTATAACCAGCATAGTCTGATATTTGAAAAATAATTTATGTTTGTTGGTAAATTAAAAACACACAGTAAAAATGCTGTTTCTTACTATTGATTTTTGTTGGAACAACTTAAAGGAATTAAGTTAACTTATTAGTTCTTACAAATTTAAGTGGATTGAACTTAAAACAATTAGGTTGTCCCCCCCCAAAAACCTAAATAATTGTATTTTCTCAGCTTTTATTAATAAGTAAATTGAACAAACAGCAAAAGTCATTCTTTAAATGCAAACAAACAGTATAGTCTGATTACCGAATATCACTCATTTAAGCTATATCTTTAAGGGTGAGCTACGTATATCTTTAATTTTCAGAAGGATACAGCACAACCACTGTATACTTCCTGAATGAATGATACAGTTCAACCAGCTTAGTATTTCTGTTGAACAAGTTATTCATATGTGTCTGTTCCTTTTTTGTGGATGCAAAACAAAGAAATGGTCTAATTCATTCTTCAGTTTTTATCTAAAAAAATAAAGTTTAATTTTTTAGGAAAAAAAATTTTCCTTCACAAAGAATCATTTAAACTAAGCCAGCTGATGTCATTGTTTGAGCCAGAATCTTACACGTTAGACTGCTCAAACACACAGCAATGTTTGTAAATCCCTTCAGCAAATGCATTTGTTCTACAATCAACCTACAAATGACTTAGAACAAATAGTTTCTGCATAATAAATTGTTGAAAGAGTTTTTTTTTTTTTTTTTATGGGTACCAGAGCTGGGTTTACTTGTCATCTACATTTACAGTCTGTTCACCCACGTCTTTCTTTGTTTATTGTTTTTGCCATAAAAAATCCAGCCTCCAAAGTGGCCAAGAAACTGAACTCACAGGAGAATAATCGTCAGTCCCTTGTGCAGATAAAATAATTGAAGTGCCATCTAAAAGACAGAATGTGAAGATCGTAGAGCCGGATAAATTATCATAATAAAAGCTCATTTGAGTGAGGAAGGTGGAAGAAGAAAAAAAGAAAGAGGAAAGGACATGACATTTTCCCTTTGTTTTTCTTAGTGGAGAAAAAGACCGTGTGATAATTAAAGTGTGCCACATATGCCATCTCTCATTTCTACATCATCCAGGCCCATGTACACATGTCTTCTTTTGAAGTACAGTGATTAGAGAGCATAGTCCTTAATCATCATGTCTGAATACCTGTAATTACGGTCAAATATGAAGGGGGAAAAATGAGCCTGAGGCATGATGGTCTGCAGTTGTCAGATATTGTTGTTGTTAAATATTTAAATGGTCCTTTGTGTGCTATTGATTTATTGGCATAATAAGATATAGGGAATGAAATAGTGTAGATATGAAGGGGAAATAAAAAAATGAACAGCATAAAGCAAACCACAAGGCCACAGCTTGACAATGAGTCAACATTTTATCTATGACATAATTATAAGAGTCAATCAATTAACCCACAAGATTGTTTGCTAATGAGTCGATTGATGAGTTTTACATTTTATGGAAGTAATAAATCAATCAATCAATCAGTCAGTCAGTCATTTAGTCTGTCAGTCAGTCTGTCTGTCTTTCTGTCTGTCTGTCTGTCTGTCTGTCTGTCTGTCTGTCTGTCTGTCTGTCTGTCTGTCTGTCTATATATCTATCTATCTATTTATCTGTCTGTCTGTCTATCTATCTATCTAGATTTTTACCTCACAATTTATTCAGAGAAGTCTTTTTGAGAATTTGAGAAGTGCAAGTCAGCATCTGACAATTACTAGCTCATATCTCACATTTTTTTGTCTTAGAATTCTGTTTTTCATAATTGTTCTCTCATAAGAGTTGTCAGTTCTGACTTTTCTTAAAATCGCAAAATCAAACATCTTGATAACTTGTCACATTTTTACTTTAAAAATCTGACTTTTTCAATCAATTAGTAGTTCACATGTCGAAAGTCTGAATTTTCATAGAATTGCAAGTTAACTTCACTTTTTTCTTCTAAGTTCAGATTTATGTATGTATGTAAGTTAGTAACTGTGGTGTTATTTTTGTATTCATTAATATGGTTGTTTATTTTAAAGGTGCTGTATGTTTTTGACTCTTTTAAGCATAAAAATACCATAATATGTTTGCAGATATTTAAGAAACATGCTGAATGAACATACTTGTTTATCTGAAAAACATTGCTAAAGTCAGTTATTCTACTTTGAAAATGGGCATTATGTGCCGGAACAGCTGCCTTTGTTTTTGTTCTTTTAACCCACCCAATGCCAGTTTAACTAATTATATTTCAGCACCCTGGGTTGCCATGTTGGAAAACCGCATGTTTCATTCATTCGATCAGAAAGGCTCTTAAAGCATGTGCTCGTGATCGAAATGCGACCTCCGGTGGACATTAGCAGACTTCGAAATGAGACGTAGATTCAGAGTTACACATGAGGTTACTAATTAGCAAATAATATAAATATTACGAACGTGAACATTAGGTGAGCAGGTTACATTGTAACCCCGTGACCCAACAAAACACTGCATGATAAGCAATTTGGCTGTTTGCACCAGACGAAACATAACAGAAATTGAAATACAGCCATTCAGAATCACAGAATAGTGCACTTACTGCAATCCAATGAAATGGTACGGTTTATAATGTAATACATAATAACTGTTTAACATTATTACCCGTAGATGCTAAATCACTGATATGTGTTGATTTTGAGTCACAGTTGTAAAGTTCAATATCGAACCGTTTTTTTTATCTTCAAGATCTAATATAAACGATCTGCTGCTGCTTTCAGTAGTATGGCAATAAATTTCACGTAAAATGGCATTCTAACTCACATTGTTAGCATTTAACACTGATTAAAGCACGTGAGGTGTACCTGAGGTGATCATTTTCAGTTTTCTGTTGTTCAGCTGCAAGAAATAGTAGTCGTTTCTAAAATATCAATTCATGGTATTGGTTAGGACAAAAACTCTTTTAATATGGAAAATATTCCTTATGTCGCGTGTGGTTACTTTTATATAGAACACAATTAAAATCAGCCTTTAGGTTTGATCCTTAAACTCTTTTTGATCCTCAATCTGGCAACCTGCACTTGCGTTTGTTTTGATTCAAGAATGAAATACCTAGTTCAACCACTGGGTGTCAAACTTACATACTGCACCTTTAATATTGTTATTTTTGTTAACTACATGTCAAAATAATTGCACAACTGTATCTGATACACTTAATGACAACAGACCATAATTTCACCCTTATTTTGCTTTTTATTTTCACAGTAGTTGTCAGAAACATGAATGTAGACATTTTACTTATATTTAATTTGTTTTCTATGCATACATAAAAGTACAGTGCACATCATAAATAGCCCCTTTCACAGATGCAGACCTTTCCGGAAAATTGCCGTTATTTTTTTCCGAAAGGTCTGTATCTGTGAAAGGGGCTATTTAAAGGTCTGTATGTATGAACAGGCCCTTTTTGAAAATAACAGTAAATTTGTTCCGGCTATTTTCCAGAAAGAGAAGTTGTAACATTACCGGTAATTTGCTGGTATGCTGTGCAATGTGAACGCAGAAGGAAGATTGCCGGAAAGACATATAGAACGCGCTGACATGAGATGTCTGCTTTAGCCAATCAAAACACTAAGGCGCATTCACATCCGTGTGGTTAATGCAAATAAAAGCTATTGAATAGTTTTCCAGACACATTTAGCTGCTAGATGTTAGTCAGATAACGTTTCTATGTTCCTTTTTAATGCAACTGTGTAAATAATTACACAGATGCTTATGATAAGCCGTTGTTTGTTTACCATTAAGCTCTTCTTCCTTCAGTTGCTTAAAGTATCGCGTATGCACGTGAGGCAGCCCGTGAGCGCCAGCACATATTATATACATTTCGATATGCAAAAGTGCTTCTCCATATGTTTTCATCAAAGTTGTTCACAATAGTTATTCATTCACAGAGTTTGTAATGTAGTCAAATGTTTACAAAAAAAAGTGCAACCATTTATTTGTCATTACTGGTTAATGATTTCCGAATTTAACAGTATTTTTAACTGGATGTGTGAATGGTCTTTTCCGGGAAAATTCTGTAATGTCCATGCCTGTATGAACAGTGCTTTTTTGAATTTACCGGTAAAGTCATTCTGGAAATTTTCTGGATATTTCCCGTATCACTGTGTAAAAGGGACTAATGAATACACTGCCTTTTGAAAATAATATATATTTTTTTTAATGTAGACAATATGTTTTGATTAAATTAAACCGTTATATTAATCTAAAAAATATAATACGTGTGATCATCTAATATCTATAGAAAAAGAAAGATAATACATTGAAATTAAAGTAAAATAAACAAAAATACAAACTACAAAATTTAAATAAAATGTAATATTTTCTTATTGTTCTCATGACATTTTTCTGTTATTAATTATCTAATATTTATTGGAGTGTACAAATTTTTAAAACGTTCATTTATTCTTTTCCTTTTGCTTATAGTCCCTTATTTTGCCACAGCGAAATGAACCGCCAACTATTCTGGCATATGTTTTACGCAGCGCATGCCCATCCAGCCACAACTAGCCCATTCGATTGTCATCACTCGATTGAATGGGTTTTATCAGTGGTTATTAGCTTATGGATATAGGCCAGTGTGGGCCTTCTGTGCCTACTAGTAGGCTCAGAAGGTTGTTATCATCCATCTACATGGCTAATCAGCTATATTAATAGAGTATACTCCAGATCCAGATCTGTTTTTACATTACTGTGATCAACTGTAGATTACATATGGCTGTGGACGGAAGTTAACTAGAATTACTTATATTTTTTGTTAAATTTCCCATTAAACTGTATTTTATTAACGTCTACCTCTACCCCAACCCTAAACGCACCCATCACAGCAACAGATCTTGATCTGGAGTATTCTCTATAGCTGATTAACCATGTGGATGGTTGAAAACAGCTTTCTGAGCCTACTAGTAGGCGCTGAAGGACCCTACTGGCCCATATCTATCAGCTGATAACCATTAAAATGCCCATTCAAGATGAGATTGTGTTATTATTCAAGTGATAATATTCAAATCGGGTGCTGCAACCCAGTGCTGGGAAACAAGATCTTAAGTTATTTTGTTATATTAGTTCCATTTTTGGCTTTTGTAATGACTAATCTATTGTATATACACATATATCTTATTGTAGGAGATTTTCATTTATTCTGGGCACTGTATTTGACGCACACACCAAAATTGGAACATCTTGTCCTTGTGTATAATTCAAAATAGCTGTATGAGACACAGTTTAACCTCTGTCAGTTTGAAACATTTTCTGTGCTTTCTGTTGACGTGCGCTATTAATAAAAGCTAAAAACGTGTCTTCGGTTTCAGCCGTCGCTCCCGATTTCTCCCAGAACCAGCTGAAGAGTCACACTTTGGTGAAAGAAGGTGGCGACGTCCTCATCGAATGCAAGCCCAAAATGTCTCCCCGAGGCTCGATCTCCTGGCGCAAAGGCAACGACGCCCTCAGAGAAAGCAGCAGGTAAAGTCCCATCTCCCACTCACATGTCATTAGTCATTTCTGCAGTCTTTTATATAACGCTACCCAATCCAGAGCTTTTCCCGGTGCCTGATCCAGGACCAGTCAATGGATCTGTGGGATGGGTACTGCAGCAGTACTTTCAGATCTGTTTTTTTGATATAATGTCTTTGTCAAATCATTTCTGTTATTCACTGCAACAAAGCACTGCCACTGACTTTGGCCATTCATCTCTGCCTGAGGAATCCCAATACAGCAGGCTGAGAAAAAGCATGTCTCAGCATGTCTCTGCTAAGGGTCGCGAAGATATGTCTCTAGTGGGCTTTGTGTTTCAGTTTCAACTGCTCTTTTCCCTCTCTTTCATACTGTTTTACTATCTCTTTCTGTTATTTGCTCACTCCCCCAAAACATCAGAGCCGCAGAGTGGGCTATTTTCTGCTGACGTGGATTGCGGCTCTTTAATGCGCGTCCTGCTATCAATCGTAGAATACAATGTGACATATGCAAGTTTAAATGTTATTGTATATAAATAGAGTTTGTTTCTTTAGCCTGCTGTTCTAAAGTTTGGATGTTTGGAAAGCAGTGTTGAAATGATTTCGCCATGGATTATGTCAGCAACCTTTTTACACAGACACAACTTAATAAAAAGTAGATTTGACGTTTACATTTTACATTTATTCATTTTAGTAGAAGCTTTTATTCAAAGCGACTTACAAGTAAGGATAAATGAACGCTACGGTTACTAAAGTAACCCTCGTTCCCTGAGGGGGGAACGGAAATGCTATGTGGAAAACCTTCCACTATGGGGTTTTCGTCAGAAACCAATCATCTGAAAGAGTATTAAATCGGGCCAATGAAATACCAAATGAATTGGCAGCGTCAGCATGCACAGCTGGCATCAATGACAATCAGTCAAGTATATAAGACGCGGCTAGTGCAATGCTCGACATCCTTTTGAGCTGAGGAGACTTTCACGCTCAACAGCTAAGGGACGATCGTTATGGCGAAGGTACATAGCATTTCTGTCCCCCCCCCCTTGGGGAACGAGGGTTACTTTAGTAACCGTAGCGTTCCCTTTCGGATGGGGAACTCCAATGCTATGTGGAAAAACTTCCACTATGGGGAAATCGATGGAAAACGCTACAACGAAAGCACCTTACCGCGTCCCTGGCGAAGGGTGCGCCACACAGCGAGCACACCTACAACACCGTGAGATGCAGTCTTCCAACGTGTCCCCTGGCCCATACTTACCTTACTTACCTGTTCAGGTTTAGCTATATTTTTCGGGGAGTCAAAAATAACCCAGTAAAAGGTTATGCCAATAACAATACATTAAAATTTTGAACTAATAAAATTATAACATGCACATCCCGCACAAACATCAGTCACCTCATGCAATTACCGAAAAGAAGCCTGATGTTCTTATTAACAGCTCCAGAACGGATCATGCAGTCCCTCATAACTGGACTCTGCGGGTTTATCAGATGGCCAGCCGTGAGTTAAAGCAGGGTGTTAATCAACTTCTCTGCACTCTTAGTAGGAGGTGAGCATCTCTGCCAGACCGGCCTTTATCAACACACATATGTCCCTGTCTCCACCGCAGAGTGACAGCCAGACGCAGCGTGATACAAGTGCAGTGCGTCCACGACCTAAAGTGCTTGCGTTTGACCACACTGGGATGGAGAAAGTTCAGTGTTTGTGTGTGCATCTGTCAGTGTGTGCACACCACGCTCGCCTGTCGTTTGCATATACAAAGTTGGTGTCAGTGCTCGTCAAACAGAGTGGCAGGCGTTTGCATAAGGGTTACACTGATGCCGGTGTCCTTCAGTCGTCCTGTGTGAGCAATTCTTCACGTCTGCACCTTCAAGAGTCCGAGCCGGAAATTGATTCACCTTGTGTCATCTTTCTTCTTTTCACTTTGTATGGCTTTTTCTCTTTTCAAACAGTGTATTTAGACATTTTCCTCGCAAACAGATTTAGAATATGTGTTTTTGTGGTTTAAAGGGCTACATTTGGCTGTCTTTTTTTTTCTTCTTTTTTCATTTTTTATTTATTTTGCTGTAAATGTGGTGCTTGGTCATTGATATAGCATGCAAGATATTTCTACTGACACCTTGAGAGTCAAAAAAAACATATACATGTGTTATAGCATTTATACACTGAGGTATTATTAAAGGTTATGATCAGTCTTTAGTGTTTTAAAACAGTGTATTTAGACATTCTGCTATCTTTTCTTTGTTTTGTTTTTTTGTTTTTTTATTTATTTAGCTGGAAATGTGGTGCTTGGTCATTTATATAACATGCAAGACACCTACTGACACTGAGAATCAAAAAAACATATACAGGCACAACAGCAATCATAAACTGAGGTATCATTAAGGGTAATGATCATATGATCATGAAGGGTAATTTTTAGTGTTTTAAAACAATGTATTTAGACATTTCGCTCCCAAATAGATTTTGAATATAGCATTTTAGTGGTTCAAAGGGACAAATTTGGCTGTCTTTTCTTATTTTTTTTATTTATTTAGCTGAAAATGTGGTCATTGGTCATTTATGTAACATGCAAGATATTTTTACTGACACTTTGAGAGTCAAAAAAACATATACAGGTGTTATAGTTTTAATAGACTGAGGTATTATTAGGAGTAATGATCAGTTTAGTGTTTTAAAACAGTGTATTCAGACATTTTGCTAGCAAACAGATTGGGAATATGAGTTTTTGTGGTTTAAAGGGATACATTTGACTGTCTTTTCTTTATTTCTTTATTTTATTTTTTTTCGCTGGAAATGTGGTACTTGGTCATTTATATAAGGCACAAGACAGTTCTACTGACACTTTGAGAGTCAAAAAAATATACAGATGTTACAGCATTACTGAACAGACGTATTATTAAGGGTAATGATCAGTCTTTAGTGCTTTACAGCAGTGTATTTACACATTTTGCTCGCAAAAAAAAATTTTAAATCTGCATTTTTGTGGTTTAAATGGATACATTTGGCTGTCTTTTCTTTATTTTTTAATTTATTTTGCTTTAAATGTGGTCCTTGGTAATTTATATGATATGCAAGGCATTTCTACTAACACTTTGAGAGTCAAAAAAACATATACAGGTTATAGCATTAATAAACTGAGATATTATTAAGAATAATGAACAGTCTATGATATAAAATGGATGTGATTTAAAAGATTATTTGCTTATCATTTTTTTTACATATTTTATGAAAACATTTTTTTCAAATCCACCTTCAGAAGAAAATTAAAACTTTAAATAGCATAATGCAATTTTTAAAATCTCTGAAATTTTATAGTATTCAATGGCAAAACATCAGTTAGTGACATTAATTTTCAAGGGTGATAAACGGGCACTGTTTTCAGGAAAACCTTTTAAAAATATGTTCAAAAGCTAAAGAGTAAAATAATAAATGCACTGTTTAAAATAAAGATTAAAAAGCATCTGGAAAGTGAAGACAGTTTAATAGTTTATTAACTGTTACAATCAAATTTAGACGTTTTAAGTGACCTACCTAAACACTTTTGGGGCTATTTCATCTAGACTTTATTATGGAAGTCTTTTTTGTCATTGTTCTACCTGACAAACACACACACACACACACACACAAACTACCACTTAAGATAATAGTCCTTGCTGTGCTTTATTTGCTATAAATAGAGTGTTAGACGGTGCTTGTTTTCTTTAGGGGAACCAAGTGTTCCTTAGTAAAAAAAGATTACTAAGAGCCTTATTTGAATTTTAAGGAGCCATTAGGTGCTGTTTTATGTTTAAGTGGCTACATTTTGGCTCTGAAGAATTGTCTCTCTCTTTTTTGTAATAATAATAATAAAAGACAGCATACATATCTTACAAGATATTTAAATATTAAAATCTCAGCACTCTTCCCTTTCCAGTCAGTAAAATAATGCATTGGCTGAGTATTTATTAATGGAAACCTTTCATAGGATCAGGACATTATTTTTTAATTCCGTTCTCTATGGTTTAGAAACAAAATAATGCTCTTTCTGCTGTCTGAACAGTATTCCATGTAGACCCGCTCACCTATTTTTGACACAGAGGTAATTAAAAAGAAAAATGGATAAATCACAAGTTTGCACGCACATGTCCCAGGCTGTATTGTGGCCGGCGAGGACTGGTCAAGATGCTTGATTGCATTGTCAATATATGGATACCGGCCAGGGAACTTTTTGCAGGATTGAATGTATTTCTGAAAAATGCTGACTTTCTTCAAGCTCCTTTGGCAATGTCTTGCAAACCTATGCCTATACTTACAGTATATACACATATGCAGATGCTTAAGGATCATGCACATCAAATTATGCACATCATTTCTCGAGACGTTCTCATACTTAAGCTATGTTGTGGTGAGTGTATGTACAGAATCACTCTCTGATATAAGATGGTGCTCATTGAAAGACAGTAATACCAAACCTGTCAACTCTCCCGTTTTTACCGGGATTCTCCTGTATTTTACAGTTCTATCCCGCTATCATCCCATAAAGATATTTCCCATATTTCTCCTGTATATTCAGTCTTGCTCTTAAGGGTGGCAAATAAACATTAAAAAGCCGAGCTTCCCTATACGCAACCCATACCGCCGAACCACCAGGGGCCGCCTCTCGCTCTTCAATGTGAGTCCTTTCTGTGCTTTCGTGTGTTTTAGGCAGGAAAACACTTTGAAATACATATAAAAACAGCAGGATTCTCTTTCCTTTTCATTACAGGTGACGTCTCCCCTTCATATGCAATCCTCAAAGCAGTCTTATAGCGGTGCATGACTGTCAGCTCGAGAACTCCATAGTGATCAATAGATGCTGTTTACCTAACAAATCTGTACAGGCAATTTGAAGTGGAGCAAAAGTCTGGGTTTTGGTTGCGTGTTTAAACACATATACACATAATTTATAATATTAACATCTAAAAATGTAGATCTTGGTGTTTTTTTTTTTTTTTTTTTTTAAACAGTCTTAGGAAAGGAATCGAATG